GTATTATGGAGTGCCTACTTCCTGTGCCCTCAGCCCAGTGCTGGGCCCCTTAGGGAGGGCAGGGGACAGAGAGACCCCTCCCCCCAACGCGGATAGCTTTGCTGGGGACGCAAGCAAGCCCATGAGACCGATGGGGACATGTACGAGACCAGACATGATCATGTTCTCAAGACGCAGGCTGGGGGGTGGAGGGTGGGCAGAACAAAGTGGCTGCCTTCTTCAAGGGCCGTGGAGGTCTAGCTTTAGAGCTGGGAGGCATCTTAGAGATCATTGACTCCAACCTCCTCCTTTGACAGATCAGGAAATTGAGACCCAGAGAAGGCAAAGAACTTGTTCAAGGTCACAGTTTAGTAAATAGTTGAATTGGAATTCAAAACCATGTCCTAAGTGCAAAAAAAAAAAAGTCCTCTGAATCTAATCCCATCACACCTTAGCACTGCCCATGTCCCAAGCCCAGAGGCCAGCTCTCAGTCTGGCTGACACTGACTCCTCTCCTCTCCTCCCCTCCCCTCCCCTCCCTCCCCTCCCCTCCCCTCCCCTCCCCTCCCTCCCCTCCCCTCCTCCCTCCCTCCCCTCCCCTCCCCTCCCCTCCCTCCCTTTCCTCCTTTCCCTTTCCTTTCCTTTCCTTTCCTTTCCTTTCCTTTCCTTTCCTTTCCTTTCTTTCCTTTCCTTCCTTTCCTTTCCTTTCCTTTCCTTCCTTTCTTTGTAATCAGGGTTAAGTGACTTGCCCAGGGTCACAAAGCTAGTAAGTGTCTGAGGCTGGATTTGAACTCAGGTCCTCCTGACTCAAGGACAGGTATGCCATTTAGCTGCCCTGAAGCTGATTTTTTTTTAAGGAACCCTGGAACGGCCACTCTTGTGCTGGGGAAAATGAGCACGTCACCTCCCCCACGAAGCCCTTATAACTCTACCCTCTCTCACTCTGAAGCTGGCTGGGGCTCTTCACTGGGCCACCTCTCATTCACAGCCTCCACACTCAGGCTTTCTTCACCACCATCTCCCCCCCCCCCCCAAACCTTGCACTCTGCTCTTGGGACCACCCCGGGGCTCTGATAGACCAGCTTGGGTCTTATCTCACCTGGAGCCAGGCCTCCACAAGTACTTTCTGGACATCTCCAGTCATGCCGCTAAGAAGCACCTACCTCTCCCTTTCATGGGTTGTCTTCCCCATTAGAATGGAAACTCCTTGAGGGCAGGGCCTGTCTTGTTTATATTTTAATCCTCAGAGTTTAGAAGCAGAGTCCGGCACCTAGCAGGCACTTAGTAAAAGCTTCATCTAACTGAGCCCATAGGACCCCAGACTCCTCTTCTGACCTTTAGCCTGTTCTGTTTGGTACCACAGTGATCTCTGGTGACGTCTGTCTGTCTGCTCGCCTGTGCACTATGGGGTCAGGAGGGGGCAAGGCCAGTGAGGCCCCGAAACCGTCCCACCTTCTAACATCCTCATTCAGTCATTCGTAGTTACAATCCTCACTTGTACCCATTCCCCATATCTATTCACTTGCCAAGTTCTGTCCAGTTTTTCCAGGCAACATTTTTCAAAGCTGTTTTCTCTTCCCTAGTGAGGTCACCCCCCTCGGTGAAGCCCTCATCAGCCCCTGCCTAGATCATCTCAATCATCTGCTCCAAGGTTTCCTGCTTCCCCTCTCTCCTCTTCTGCCCATCCCTGACCCAGCTGGCCACGTGATATTCCTACAGCATAGACCTCCCTCTATCTCTCTCCTCCTCAAGAATCTTCCATGGCTCCTTATTACTGCTAGGATCACATAGCAAATCCTCAGCTCGGCACATAAACCAAGCAGACCCAAGCCTGCTCATCTTTCCAGGCTCACTTCCTATTGTCCCCTTTCGGCACTCTACAATTCAAGTGAACCATTCCCTGGGCATGGCATGGCATCTTCCTCCTGTGCCCCATACCTGGCATTTTCCCTTTCCTAACCTCTGCCTGTTAGGACCTCCTGGCTTTCTTCAAGCCTCAGCTCAAGAGCCACCTCCTACATTCAGCCCTCCCTGATTTCACCTCCCCTGGTGTCAGTATTCTCTTTCTGCCATTTTTAAAAATTGAGTTTGTATTTCTTGATCTCTATGGGTGCTGTACCCTCCCCAGTAACACACAAGCTCTTGGAAGGCTGGGGTGCCTTCATGTGTCTTTGTATCCACCAGCACCCTGCACACAGTAGGTGCTTAATACAAATGCTTGTTGAACTGAATGAAATCACACAGGACCCTACCAAAGGGTGGACAAGCTGGGATGAGCATCCACGAAGGAGGACGTGCTCTTTCAAACCATTTGTTTTCAATGCAGTTTAACGTAGCTAAACACAGTTTGACTGACTGACTAATATAGTGCCCTGAAGCATTGAACAATTCACAGAAAAAGACCTAATGCCGGGAGAGGGAATTCCAACTCTTCCAGGCATGCCAGTAGCAAGCATGATTAAGCACCTACTATGTGCCGAGCACTGTGCTAGGCACTGGGGGCAGAGAGTCAAAGAAAGAAACCATCCCTACCCACTTATATTCCCTTGGGAAATCCTGACCCAGAAATTTACATTCTATTAAAGATGAGTAGCTAGAGATAAGAAATGCAGCTACATATGTACAGAAGAAAGAGCATATTAAACTATAGCCCTTGGCATTCACATAGTGCTTTAAGGTGCACAAAGTGCTTTACAGTCATTATCTTTTCTGATCTTCATGACAACCTGAGTGGTTAATACTGCTCATGTTATTAGCCCCATTTCGCAGATGAGGAAATTGAAGGGAGAAGGGGAGAAGGGACATTCCCAGGGGATGTGTGTAAGAGTTCTGTGGAGAATATGAAGGTAATCAGTGGGATGATGTTGATAAAGTCCCAAAAGCCCATCTTGGCCCAAGTCTCATGCCCTCAGCACCCAATAGCCAGGGCTCAAAGCCAACATAGTACCAGCTGAGTCTGGATACAGCTCCAGGGAGATGGTATGGAAGTAAGGGCTTGGGGATGGCGAGAAGGGGTTGTGGCCACCAAAGAGCAGCGGTTTGTAAAGCTTCTGTGCCCGCCTCCTGCCCTTACTCACCTGTCCAGTCTCATCTTCTTTCTAGCACTGGCCTCCCTATACCGACGCTCACCTTCCTGAAGTGGGGAGAAAAGCAGAGATAAGTCCTTGATGGGCAACCAGCTAGGCCCCAAGTGCCCAGGGAGAAGGGCAGGGACACCTTCAGGACACATGGGATGGGCCATGCTCAGGCAGGGCTGATTGGGTAGTAAAGGGCATGTCTTATCCCCTCACCCTGACAGGGGCCATAGCCTCTCTATCTCTGGCCTCCCACACTGACCCCCTGGCACCCAAATGAGGAAAGTAAGCCTCCCTCCTGAAATACCTTGGGGTGGGGGATAAAGGATGAATCTCCTTTCATTCTTATTGCCTCCTACCTTAGCTCACACTATTTCTCCCTCCCAAATCAGACAACAGATAGTAAAGAACTTTGCAGACTACAAATGACCCAGCCCACACCACCCAACGAGGACACAGCAAGCTATTGTTCCCAGCAGAGGGGATGGAGCCCCACCAAGCCATCCCCTCCCCCACCAAGCCATTTTCTCCTCCCCTAAGCCATCTGCTCCCCACCAAGCCACCCTCTCCCCCACCAAGCCACCCTCTCCCCCACCAAGCCACCCTCCCTCCCACCATGCCACCCTCCCCGCCACCAAGCCACCCTCCCCCCACCAAGCCATCCTCTCCCCCACCAAGCCATTCATTCCCTCACTAAGCCATTCACTCCCTCATCTTGCCCCCCTTGGAGCAGCCCTGTGTGGGAAAGATGACCAGAGATTCCTATGGTAGCCACAGAATGGAGGAGCCTTCACTGCCCCCGGGGGATTGACCCCACATGCTTGGTCTCATTCACAGGATACAGTCACCCTTGGCAGGACTTGGTTCAAGTGATAGGGTCTAGTACCCTGCTGCCTGGAGAATGTAAGCTCCACGAGCGGAGGGACAATTTGCTTTTTGGGGTCTTTCATTCTCCCAGTGCCTAGCCCAGTAGTAGGCACACAGGGAGAGCTTGATAAATGCTTCTCAGATTGAAGGGAATGATTCACCTTGCCTTGTGGCTGAATCCAAGGCAGGGTTATGGGCTGGTCATCTCCATCCAAGACCACAAAGGTCATGAAAGCACTGTTGAGGTGCCGCCGGCAAGACTCCATCTCCTGGCGGTAAGCTTCCACGCACACCCCGACCTCCATGCTGAAGAGACATGTCAGCCAGAAAGGCAAAGCCCTTCCCTCCCTCCTCAGCAGGCCCCAAGAAATCCCTCAACTGCCTGGCTTGTCACTAGAATTCCACCGGGAAACCTTCATATGCTATGGAAATGCTGGCTTCATTATTGTCACTATGTCGATAACCTCTAAAGTTCCTTTCGCTCAGCTCTGACATCCCCCATTTTCAAGCCCTCCCTCACTCTTAAAGCCTGGCTTGTCACAGTCTATGAATTTCTGTGGAGTCAGCTTTTACAGTTTTTCGTTTTCAGTTCATGGTTAATTTCTGCTCTCCCCTCCCCTCCCCGACATGTACGCATCCATCCCATCACACTCCTATCCCTTAACGGGTCCAGTCTCACCTGTTCTTGAAGGCATTGTTGACAATGGCCTTGAGCACCAGCCGGTCCCCAACCTGGGATGGGCCTCGAAAGTGGAACATCTCAATTGTCTTCAGGGTGGGATGGCCTTGGCACAGGCGGCTGAGATAGTGGGGGATAGGCATGCTAGCAAAGCCTGGCCAGATCTGACCCAACTGCCCAGCCCTGGGGTCTATCATATGCCCTCTGGGTATTTCCCCACTGGGTGGTTGGCTATGTCCCCCCCTAGCAGGGTGGGAGGTGGGGAGGTGGAGGGCAGGGAAGGTAGCAAAGGCTTGTGTAGGCACAGCAGGGAAGAGGAGGGAGCAACTGGGGTGAGGCTTGTCTGTTGGGGCCACTGGTTCCCAGTCCCCCTGGCCCAGCTCAGTCTTATCCCCATCTTTATTCCTGAGGTCAGGCTGTTTGTTCCATCTGCCTAAAATACCGAGCTCCATCCCAATCCTAAGCATCCTTCAAAGCCCAGCTCATGGGGATACAATATGGCACAGTGGAAAGAGTACTGGACCTGGAGTTGGGAAGACCTGTATTCAGATCCCACCTCAGACACTTACTAAGGGCAACTCACTTAACCTTTTTGTGCCTCAGTTTCCCCTTTTGAAAAATAAGAGGGTTGGAACTCAGTAAACTCTGAAGTCCCTTCTAGCTCCATAGCTAAAATCCTCTGATCATCCCAGCTCTCTGCTCTGAAGCTTTCCCCAACTACCCCATTCTCTCCCTCCACAGTCGACTCAGCAAGCATCTACTAGGCACCTACAATGTATAAGGCACTGGCTGGGGCACAGACACAAGGAATTGTACAGTTTGTGCCCTTGAGAAGCTTACATTCTCCAGGAGGAACATGATGCAGTGAAGAGGGCTAGATTTGGGGTGTAAGGAACTGGCTTTGACTCTCAGGACACCGGTGTGATCCTGAGCAAATCACTTCATGGCCCTGGGACTCGGTTTAATGATCCATAAAATGAGGGGGTTGGGCTCATTTCCCCCAACTCACTCATCAACGTGAGATGGAGTGCTCGTCGTTCCTCCTGGCCACTTGCATGTTCTCACTGTGTACCTATCGCTCAATAACCTCTCCTCCTTTGATGTTCATGTAATTCCTATCTACCACCCAATCACAATCCTGGTAGCTATTGCCTACAGACACCCCCCCCCAAGAAACTCCCCTTCCTTCCTCAGTGAGTTCCGTGCCTGGCTCACAATATTTTTCTTCTCTCCAATTCCTCCTCTTATCTAGGGGACTTCGACATCCATATTGATACTCCTTCAAACATCCTAAACTTCCACTTCCTCAACTTACTCACTTCCCATGATCTACTCCTCCACTCTACTTCAATCATACACAAAGATGGTCATGCACTTGACCTTACCATCACCCATAGATGCACCACTTCCACGTTCAAGAATTCCCAAATCCCCTTATCTGGCCATGATCTTTTGGCTTTCCACCTCTCCCTCTGCCTTCCCTTACCAGACCTTCTCTCCATCGACACCATGACCTCCAGTCCCTCAACCACACAATTCTCCTCCAGACCATCTCCACCAGAGGTCCTTCCAGACCCCTTTCTCCTCTTTTCCCCATCTTGACCCCGTCCTCTTCTCTAGAGTTCTTGACTCCTTTTCTCACATCACCCATTGTGTCTTGCCAAGCCTCAGCCTTGGATCACACCCACCATCTTCTACCTTTGCTCCTAGCCATGTGTTGCCAAAAGAAATTGGAGAAAATCACAAAAATCATGCTGATAAATTAATGTTCCATAACCTCAAATGGGCCCTCATTGCTGCTGGGCAAGCCTTTTACATCTCCTTAATTAACTTGTTATCCCACCCATTGTGGATTTGTAAACCTTTTAATCTCTCCTCAAGCTTCCCATAGTCCCCTTCTGCCCACCTTCTCAGTAGAGAACTTTGCTTCGTATTTCTCTGAAAAAACTGAAGTCATTTGAAAAGCGCTCCCTCCTCTCATCCCCCAAATGCCTTCTGCCACTATCTCTTCCTTCTTCTGTCTCAGATGAAGAGGTAGCCCTTCTCCTTGCCAAGGCAAACCCCTCTGCCTGTACAAGTAATCCCATTCCAGCCTGTCTCCAGCAGAGTGCCCCCTTTATCATCCCTATTCACTCCCTTATCTGCAATCTCTCCCTGTCTACTGGTTTCTTCCCTACTGCCTACAAATATGCCCATGTCGCCCCTTATCCTCAAAAAGCTCACACTTCATCCTTCCATCCCTGCTTCCTATATCTCTCCTCCCTTTTGTGGCTGAACTTCAGAAAGATAGTCACAACAGGTGCTTCAACTTTCTTTCCTTTCTTTTTAAATCTCTGCAGTCCGGTTTCCTACCTCTTCATTCAAGCGAAACTACTCTCTCCAAAGATACTAGCGAGCTCTTAATTGTCAAATCCAATGGAGAGGGTGATCACACATCATGTCAAGGTTCAACTAGACAAGTTCTGTCCTATAATCCAATATTAGAGTGGAGGCCATAGGGCAGGGAAGCCCTCTAGCTAATCATGGCACCCAGAAAAGATTGGGGAGAAGTAGAGAAGGGTTATTCAGCTAGGCCTCACCTGGCTGCGATGGTGGCCACATTCTCCATCCAAGCCATGATTTGGCCACCAAAGGTGTTGCCCTGGTGGTTGGCATGGGGGGGCAGGACCAACTCCACACTCTCCACTCGGGTCTTCTCAGCGGGCACCATCCTGTTACAGTCTCTGCTCTCCAGATCTGACATGGGACATGGGATGTGGCTGAGGGCTTGCTGGTAAGCAGGAGGCTGCCCTATAGGATCCTGGCTAGCTTAATGGACATGTGAACATGATACACAGCTATTTGTTTTCTGTCTTTTTATTCCTAGTGCCTAGCACAGTGCCTGGCATCCAGCAGGCACTTAATGAATGCTCGCTGAGTTGCGTTGACTCAGTCAGACCGTATCTAGAGTGATCAGATCTGGGCAGCACATTTTAGGAAGGACATCTGTAATCTGGAGAGTGCCCAGAGGGAGACAACCTGGACAGTGAAGGGCCTTGAGCCTTCTGAGTCTTTGGAGGATTGTTTACAGGAACTGGACGTGTTTAGGCTGGAAAAGAGAATACTCTGGGAATAGGACTGATGTGTTTGAATATTTGAAGAACTGACGCATGGAACAGGGATCACACCTGTTCCGTTGGCCCCACAGGGCAGAACCAGGAGCACAAGGTAGAAATTACAAAGAGGGAAACTGAGGCTTGATGTCAGGAGAAGCTTCCTAACCATGTCAGTTGCCCCAAAGTGGGATGAGCTGCCTGGAGAGGAAGTGGATTCTTCCTCACTGAAGGTCTTGAAACAAGGGCTGCGTCAGAACAGGATGGCAATTTTGGCTCCTTGGTCTGTGATTCCATGACCTTCTACCCACCAATCACTAACCGTTTATTAAGTTCCTACTATGTGCCAGTCGTTGTGTTAAGCCTTTGGTGTACAAAGACAAAACCCTGCCCTCCGTGGCCCAACACAAATGCATTTTCCTCCCTGGCCATGAATGACCTTTCTCCCTTGGACCCCAGAGGGCACTCTATCCACATCTGTCTAATGCACATGTCTTAGGTTAGTGTCTGTTTTGTCCGCCTCCTCCAGGCTCCATGAGAACAAGAACTGAGCTTTATCTGCACTCAGAGCCTCTCCCAGGACTTGTTGACATCATGGTCAGTTCCGGGGCCAGCCCATCTCCCATTCTATTGGATGACAGGCTAATGCTTTGCTTCCTTCGAGTCAACTTTGAACCACTAGGGAGTCACTTAGATTTGTGTAAAGTGCTTGGAAACCTTGGAGCACAATATAAATGGTCACTATTGCTATAATGATTCTGTCCGGAAAGATGTTAGACTAAATACTCATGGTAATTAATGGCATTATTAATTAATAAACATTATCATAATGATAAATCACATTTCTATAGCATTTGAAGGTTGAGAAATCATTTTCCTCTCAACAACTCCATAAAGTAGGTAGTGCCCTGTTGTACAGATGAGGAAACTGAGGCTCAGAGAGTAGAAAAGAGTTGCCCAGGGGTACATAGCTGTGAGTAATGGAGCCAAGATTTGAACTCAGGCTCTCCAGTCTCCAAACCCAGCACTCTTTCTTTCTTTCTTTTTTTTTTTTTTGGCTGGGCAATGGGGTTAAGTGACTTGCCCAGAGTCACACAGCTAGTACGTGTTATGTGTCTGAGGTTGGATTTGAACTCAGGTCCTTCTGAATCCAGGGCCAGTGATCTATCCACTGTGCCACCTAGCTGCACCCCCTCAGCACTCTTTCGCTACCCCAAATATGACTGACCATTAAGGTCCCTTGCTCTACAATCCCCTCAGGCTCTGAGATTCTATGAGCTTCAAAGATATCTCCAGTTTTCCCTTAAAAACTCATACGTCGTTGGGGCAGCTGGGTGGCATAGTGGATAGAGCACTGTCCCTGGAGTCAGGAGGATCTGACTTCAAATCCGGCTTCAGACACTTAATAGCTGTGTGACTGCAGGCAAGTCACTTAACCTTGTTTGCCTCAGTTTCTCATCTGTCAAATGAGCTGGAGAAGGAAATGGCAAACCACTTCAGTGTTTTTGACAAGAAAGCCCCCCAAAACAGGCACAAAGACTTGGATGTGGCTGAAAAGACTGGACAACAGCATTTCCTGACTCCAGACCTGGTGCATTTCACCACCTAAGTGGTACCCTGGGTTTGGAGAACAAGGCCATACAACACTTCCTCTGGGTCTCTCATGCTTTTTATAGACTAATCACATCCCCTCTTAGCTTCTGAGCTTCCCTGTTGTTCTTAAATCTGTCTATAATTAGTGGCTCCAACAGACCCAAGTCAAGAGATAACCAAAAGCACTGGATATGAATAAACTCTTCTGAATTCTCCCCAGGGCATGGGAATATAATGGTGCCCATAATGTGCCAACAACCCACAAGTAGGGAGGTACAGTGGAAAGAGCACAGAGTCTGGAATCAGAGGTCCTGGGTTCAAATCCAGCCTCTAATCATCACTACCTATGTGACCTTGGTCCAGTCACTTGGACCTCATCTGGAAAATAAGAGGGTTAGATTAGGCCTCTGAAGTCCCCTCCAGCCTCAGATCTAGAAGTTAGGATCTGATGACCTAGGTTCAAATCTTACCTTTGATGCTTATCACCTGTGTGACTGTGGATAAGTCACTTCTCTGATCCTCAGATCAGAGGTTCTTGACTATAAAATGACGGGGTTGGATGATCATCAAAGTTTCTTCCATTTGAGGGAGGTCCCTCTGAAGGACCTCCAACCTTGTATGTCTAGAATGCTTAGAAAATGTGGAGTTGACTAGAGAGACTGATGCAGATACACAGATAACTTACTTATTGAACGACTTCCATCTTAAGAAAAAATACACAAAATATGGAAGTGAAGTCAGGTAACAGAGAATAGACATAACAGCATTGCTCAGTCCAGTAAAAATAGCATCAGGAATGCTAATGTTTAGAGTGAGCTGAGACTGGTGGGGGAATCTAAGGTCAACAAAAGCGAGCTTTAGAACTACAACTGAGGGAGAGAAGAAGGTCATAGATGGGATCGGCCCTTTGCTTGGGGTGGATAAGATGACAAAAAGTGACAACAAAATGCTCGGAGCTCAATCCCTATTTTGCTTTTATATTCTTCACTGAAGAGAATGATCTTTAGATTGAAAAGGACACAAGAGAAGTTGGCTGATGCTCAAGACAAGCAAAGAGCCAGCAAGAACTCCTCGGTGCAATCAGGTCACGAGGCCCAGATGAACTACATGCATTCCTAGTCACTGACTGAATGGGCCTGTTAGCACTGTGCCTGTCACCGATCTTTGGGAGGTCAACAAGAACAGGAATGATCCTACCGGGTTGGAGAAGGGCAGATATTATCCTAATTTTCTGGCAGGGGGCAAAAGCTATCAACTACAGGTCTGTGAGTTTGGTTTCTACTCGAGACACAATCCTAGAACATATCATGAAAAAGATGGTGAGAGAACATTTACAAAAAGAAGCAATGATCACCAAGAGCCAAGACAGCTTCATCAAGAACACATATGCCAGGCTAGCCCAATTTCCTTTTCTGCCAGGGTTAGTGACCCATAGATCAGGGAAATCATACAGATCTAGTTCATTGAGATTTTAGCAAAGCATCTAACCACGTCTCTCACGGGCAACATAAAAAGGCTATTCCAGAGGACCAGTGATGAAGGCAATGGTCTCAAGATGCAGAACGAGACGTATTTTGGACACAGCTTATGTAAGAATTTGTTTAGTTTAACTATGCATACTTGTTACAAAGGTTTGGGGGTTTTTCTTAAATTTTTTTTAAATGGAAACATCCATGTACCAGATAGTTATTGAGTTGCTGCAGCATGAAAACTGAAAGAGAACTCAGGTCACATAGCATAACCCTTCATTTTACAGAAAAGTAAACTGAGGTCCAGAGTGGGCAGACTTGCTCTAATTGTTCCATTGTTTACAGCAAACCAAAAAGGAGTGGTCAGAGAGGTCAGAGGGAAATGTGGGGAAGGATGCAAAGGCCCACTTTGTTCTGGCCACTGGGGCCAAGCTGATTAATCCCTTTTCCACAAGGATTTTCAAATTCCTGATGACTCTTATGTGCCCCCTGAGTCTTCTCTCCTCTGGGTTATCTCCCATTTTACCTGGCATGGTTTTCAGTCTTCTCACCACCCTAGTAGCCCTTCTCTGGACGTCAATCCCATTTCTTTCTACCCACCCCATGGTCTGCTCCCACACTGGGTCCTGCAAGGACATCTCACCATCTTGAATGACGCTTTTGGCCAGTAGGTCCTGGATGGTTTCTGTGTACACCAGCCTCATACCTTCGACGCTCTGCTGCCACGCTGTACTCCACCTTTTCCTCCTCTGTCAGCGGCGAGATCTGTTTTAGCTTTACCTGCCATCCAGAATGGGAAAGAAGTAGCAAGGGCAAAAAGAGAGTGAAATCAACAGGAAGTGCATCTATTTATATCATGACATGACCCTGCATTGGCAGGAGACAGGGTGCAGTGAAGAAGAAGGCTCATTCTTGGGCCACAACCTTGGACAGCTCCACAGCATCTTTCTTCCTAAAGATCTCTCCACTACTGGTCTTTAAGACCCTGCATCCTTCCCCTTATTCCTCCTTGACCTCTCTGACCAAACACCCTACACTAGACTTAAGAGAAAGAGACAAGTTCCATTCATTCTCTTCTTCCTCTCCTCGAAAGTGCAGAATGGAATTCTCTATCTGGGACTTCCCATGATAATGGAGAAAGGCATTTTGCCACACACCCCTTGCACCTCCCTCTGCACTTTCAGCAACAGGTTTACACACAGAAGCCAAAGCATGTGCTGCCTAAGGAGCCCTCTCTTGGCCTCTTTGTTTTTGTATTTCTTTTCCTAATCACAGGTGATCAAATAGTGATCCTGAGATAGACGTTTCTAGCCTTCAAGGAGATTTCATGAGTCAGAAGCCTGAGTCCCTCAGTCAGGTGCTACTATAAACACTTTCTGGAGAAAATGGACAATGACAGGAGGAGAAACCCGAGCCCTGTCCTGGTTCCCCAGAAGACAGTGACCATGAGGGAGTGGTTTGAACAATATAGAGTTGAAGTAAAGGTGAAATGGTGATTCTACAGCCCCATTAAATGGCCCACATTTAAACGTTTTAAGTGTCAACTCCTGGGAAGGTCCAGTAGGAGTTACTGGTTACCAGATTAAGTTTTGAGTCTTTGTCAGTGCGTACTTACTAATCTTTAGTGTACTAAGCATTTCTTTCTCAGTGCAGGAAGTAATACCTGCTTGACATGGAGTACTTTCTATACCCTTTTGGGAAATACCGGATATGAGTCAAATCTAAGGTTTCAGTGATTTTCCACAAGGCTCTGAGGAGGGAGCATAAAGAACCAAAGAGCATGAAAAAGCAATCCGCCCCCTCTTTTAAATGTCAGGCTCCCTCAGGAGTGGACCAGGACTATACGTATTCCCCTTAGTGAGAGAAGACAAGTGGTCCAGGCCCCCTGGGCTCGACAGTGATATCTGTTATTACATATGGCAATATGTGGTCACCCCCACTCCCACGGAATGTCAGCTTCCTGAGGGCATTTCTAAATTTGTAATCCCAATGCCTAGTGCTTAGTAGGCACTTGAGGAATATTGATTGATTGATTGATTTTAGTTCTAAATCTTATAGTCCAACAGATCCCCGCACATACTGGGCACACAATAAATTTGGCAGGACTTTGCTGCTAGGGTTATGGATGCTAAGGCATCTTATTGCTCTCAGGTCACTATCATTGCTATATATGTCTATAATATATCATAGACTATAACATTATAATATATGATATAGTATATTATAGACTATGATATTAATTCTTCTCTAAGGTAAGACCTAGCTCCTTCCCCTAGTCTCAACCAGTTTACCAGGGGCTCAGGCTGAAATCAAGCAATAAGCATTTATTGAGCACCCACCACAGTGGTGCAGTGGATAGAGCACCGGGCTGGGACCCAGGAAGACTCATCTTTCTGAATTCAAATGTGGCCTCGGACACCTTCTAGCTGGATGACCCTGGGCAAGTCACTTCACTCTGTCTGCCTCAGTTTCCTCATCTGTAAAATAAGCGAGAGAAGGAAATGGCAAACCACTCCGTATCTCTGCAAGAAAACCCCAGATGGGGTCACAAAGAGTTGGACGTGACTGAAAACAACCGAACAACACCACCTTACATGTCAAGCACTGTGCTAGATACAAAGATCAGAAAACAAAGAAAGAAACATGTTCTACCCTCAGAGAGCTTCCATTCTCTAAGAGGAGGCAGCATGCAGGTACCTAAGTAAAGAGGGCAGCTGGTCTTTGACCTGGCTCATGGGTGTTGAGTGAGGCAATCACAGAAAGGAAGGACTCCTCACAGAGGTAATGAAGTAGTAATATGTTTAAGAGGCACTAAACTAATTACAAAGCTGTTTTAACCCCCAGAGTCCCCTTACAAAGTATGGCAAAGTTTCTTTGATTGAACTGGAAGGGAAACTTGAGGTTTGTTGGCTGAAGATTGGCCCTGCCCCTAGAGGTGTTTAAATAGCTACGGTGGCCATTCCCTAGAGTCCATGATGCAGCTTAAGAGAGTCAGGTTCAGGCCAAAAGCAGGCCTATTGTGGAGTGGACCCTGTAATGGCAACAAAGCATAGCAGTGGTAGGGAAGGGTTTTGTTTGTTTGTTTTTTACCTCTTCACCTTCACTAGCTGTCATATCGAGTAACAGAGATGCTCAACCAGCAGTCAGACAACTAGCGTGTATTAAGTACCTACTGCACACTGGGCACTGTGCTAAGCACTGGGGATATAAAGAAAGGCGAAAACTTGCCCTGCTCTCAAAGTCTAATGTTGGAGATAACAAACAAGCAAGTCTTTACCAAAAAGCTGTAGATGGGATAAATTGGAGCGATAAACCAAAGGAGGGCACCAGCACTAAGGAGGATTAGCAAAGGGGGAATCTGGATCAGGAAAACTTTCTGGGACTTGAAAGAAGCCAGGGAAGCCAGGAGGTAGAGATGAGGAGAGAGATAGCTCCAGCATGGAGGACAGCAAAAAAATGATCAGTGAGGAAATGAAATGTCAAAGAATAGCAAGAGTCCCAGTCATCAGATTGGCCATTAGTACATGTAGGGGGACAGAGAGTAAGGTGCATGAAGATTGGAAAGTTAGGAAGGTGCCGAGTCAGGAAGGCTTGGAAAACCAAGCAGAAAGTGTTATATTTGATCAGGAAGTGAGAGGGAGCCACTGGAGTTTATTGAATTGACAGGGGTGGTCAGACCCATCAGTCAGCAAACATTTATTAAGCACCTACCACATGCCAGGCACTATACTAAGCAATGGGGGTACAAAAAAAAAAGGTAAAAGACAGCATCCATTCTCAAAGAGCTCACAGTATTACAGGAGACACAATATGTCAATAACTGTGTACAAACCAGCTATCTACAGGGATAAAGTGGAGACAATCACCAGAGGAAAGGCACTGCAATTAAGGAGGACCTGGAAAGCCTTCCTGTAGAAGACAGGATTTAGCTGGATCTTCATGGAAGCCAGAAAGCAAAGATGAGGAGGGAGAATTCCAGGCAGGGGGACAGCCAGTGAAAATCCCGAGCCTGGAAGAACATCTTGTTCAGGAACATCAAAGATTAGTCTCACTGGATCACAGGGTCCAAGAAGTGGGAAGATGCACAGAAGGTATAAGACTAAAAAGGTGGGTCAAGGGTATGGGACCAGGTTATGAAGCACTCTGAATGCAACAGATGATTTTATATTTGATATTGGAAGTGATGGGAGCGAGGGGAGTTGATTGAATGTACAGTGAGGGGAGGTGTACATGATCAGACCTGTACTTTAGGGTAATCAATTTGACAGCTGCGTGTTAAATGCATTGGAGTGGGGTGGGAGATTTATGATGGGATACAGCTAGCAAGTTATTGCAATAGTCCAGTTATGAGGGGATGAGAACCCACACCAAGGTGGTAGCAGGGCCTGAGGAGAGAAGGGGGCATATAGAAGAGAAGTTCTACATATAAAAATTACAGGATTCAACAGTGACCAGATATAGGGGTAGGTGAGAAAGATGATGATTGGAAGCAACACTGAGTTGGGAGCCTAAGTGTGGGAGGATGGCAGACTCTCACAGTAACGGAATAGTTAGGGAGAAGGAAGGTTGGGTTGAGTGAGTTCAGTTTTGAACGTGTTGAGTTTAAGGTGTCTCTGGTTCAGCATATCTAAAAGGTAATTAGGAGGTCGGGAGAGAGTGAGGACCTGACAAGGATCTAAGAGCATCTGCAGAGATCATTGAAACGTGGGAACTGATGAGATCACCAGGTGAAGTAGGAGAAGAGAAAAGTGCAGGGTGGAGTTTGGGACCTCCACTGTTATCTGGTCTGACCTGGAGGAAGATCCAGCAAAGGAGACTGAGAAGGAGCAGTCAGCGAGGGAGAGGAGAACCGAGAAAGAGAGAGAGAGACAGAGAGACAGAGAAGAGAGAGAGAGACAGGAAGGAGAGAAGAGAGACAGAGAGAGAGAGAAGAGAGAGAGAGAGAGAGAGAGAAAGAGAGAGAGAGAACAGAGAGACAGAGAGAGAGAGACAGAGAGAGAGACAGAGAGACAGAGAGACAGAGAGAGAAAGTGTCCTGAAAACTGGAGTCAGAACAACAAGAAGTTTGCTAGACTATGGTACACTCTTCCTTAAAGAAAGACTAGCAAGCTAGAACCTCCTCTGGTCTCATCCAGTCTGCCAGGGGCTCTGCTGAACCAACAAGGTTTTTGTAAGTCCCTGCTCTGTTCCTGGTGTTACTAAGCTTGGAGGAGTTCAAAGACCAAAATGAAATAATCGCTGCCCTCAGGAGCTAATATTGTATAAGGGAAGAAAACCCTGGGCAAGTCACTTAGCTTTCTTACGCCTCTGTTTCCTCATCTGTAAAATGGAGGCAATATTACCTGCCTCACAGGGTTGTTGTAAGGATCAAATGAGATAATATATGTAAAGCATTTTGCAAACCTGAAAGCTCTGTGTAAATGCCAGCTATTATTATTATCATCAGCAAGTTGAAGGTAGTGATTATAATAATAGTATAGTTTATGGCATTGTGGTTCTAACTGGATGCTTCCCCCAGGAATGATTAGCTAAACCAGAGATTATAGTTTAATTATCCAGGCAATTATGTTCCTTACCTATGCTATGTTATTTCCTCCTACTCATCTGCTTAGCCCCAGCCAGCCCAGGCTCCTGGCCATCCCTGAATTCAAGTATGTTTGCCCCTGCTCCATCCCCTTTTCTACAAAAGTCTGTGCTTAAAATGCCTTCCCTCAACTCCCCACCAATTGAAATCATGCAAGGTACAGCTCAGGAGTTGCCTCTGCCAGGTTGCTTTCCATGAATGCTGACCACTCCTGTCCCCTGCCTGGTTCCTCGGGCTCAGAGGAACAGTGAGTCACACGACTGGACGGGATTGCAAATAATAATGACACTAAGGTTTGCATTTTACAAAGCACTTTACAAATGTTATCTCATTTTATCCTCACAACTACCCTAGGATGGAGGTGTTATTATTATCCTCAACTATAGATGAGGAAACAGAGGCAAACAGAGGTTAAGTGACTTGCCCTGGGCCACTCAGCTAGTAAGTGTCTGAGGCAGGATTAGAACTCAAGTCTTCCTGACTCCAGGCCCAATGCTCTATTTAGTGTATCACCCAGCTACCTCAACATCCATTAGAGGATTTAGTTACTGTGGCACATTGAGAAAATCAATTCCTTATCTCTGTTTTCTCTCTAAAATGAGGAGAATTGGACCAGATGGCCCCTTTGGGAGGAAAGAGAGTTTCATTCACTGTATCTGCATCCTCAGCACCTAGGACAGTGCCCGGTACAAGGGAAGGGGCTGAATAAATGAGTGAGTGATTGATTGAGAGCAAGAGCCTTCAGGGGTCATCTGGCTCAGCCTATACCTGAAAAGCAAACTACTACAACACACTATTTTTTTTTTAGGATAGGCAATGGGGTTAAGTGACTTGCCCAGGGTCACACAGCTAGTAAGTGTTATGTGTCTGAGGCTGGATTTGAACTCAGGTCCTCCTGAATCCAAGGCCAGTGCTCTATCCACTGTGCCACCTAGCTGCCCCTACAACACACTATTAAGAGATCACCCTGCCTCTGCTTGAGGGTCCTCCAGGTATAGGGGAGTACACTAACTGGGGAAGCAGCCTATCCTGTCCTGGGACAACTGTAACTGTCAGGAATTGTTTCCTGATGTCAAGTCTCCATGCCTTCTTTGCTGTTTTCTGTTCCTGGTTCTGCTCTGTGGGACCACAGAGGATAAATCTAATCCCGCTTCCACTTACTAGCACTTCAAATAAGGGAAGACGGCTGTCAGCTCTCATGTCCCTCTCCCTACCCTCCTCACCCCAGTCTTCTCTTTTCTAGCTTCTTCCTCCAATCCTCATACAGTAGAAGTTTAAGTAAGGTAGAAAGCATTCCAGTTTCTGGAAGCACAAGGCCTGGGTACAAATTCCACCTCTGACTTTTTTTTAGCTGTTATCACCTTGGGAAGGTTGTTTAATCTTCCCAGGATGGCAGTTTCCTCATCTATAAAATGAGGGATTAGACCAGATGATCTCTGAGCTCCCTCCTATCCCCAGCCCAGTCTCACATCTAGGACCCTTTGATCCCTGAACACACTCTATACACATTCCAGGGTCCTGTGAGTCCTACAACTATGCCAGCCCGCCTGGTTTGGCCCTATTTCATTCCATGGACATTTGCTATACTCTGCTAGGACCACAAGCCCTTGGCTGCCCTCCCTGCCCCAGGGGAGCTGAGCCTCCTGCTGGCCCAGGCCCCTCAGCCTACAAAGGTGACCCACAGCTACAGGGAAACCCTGAAATGGGAGAGCTGGCCACTGGCTGGTTTGGAATGGTGATAGCAGCCCTCTCCTTACCTTGGAAGAGTCTCGCTGGGCCACAAATGTGGCCAGAGCTTTGCACACACTCCACTGCTTCTCAGTGCAAGGGTCCTCTGAGGTAACCTGGATGCCCACCTAGACGGGTAAAGAGGTCCAGGTTTGAGGAAGTTCAGCAGGGGGTGCTTGGGGCCCCCAGCAGCCTCCCTGGGGGCTCCTGAAGCCCTGATTCTTCGTGTGCTGGCCATGTATGAATCTATTTGTCCAGGCCCGGCTGATGAGAAGTCATCCCTTCAACTTTGGAAGGCAGGGCTGAAAAGCCCAGTCTAGATTCTGAAGGCGCATGGGACACTAGGGCCTGAGGGCTCAGAGGAAGCTGCGGCTGCAAAGAGGAGGCCAAAGGGAGAAGTTGGGAGACCAGTCTAAGAGGCAATGGGGGCCTCCCCACCATCCTGAAAGGTGGCTGGAATTTGGCCTTCTAGTATTTCTGAGCTTATCCTGCCCAGAGACCCAACTCTGCCAGGTGGAGCTTGGCCCAACCCGATAGAGAGGGAGAGTCCACTGGGTCGTGGCAGGGGTCAGAATACTGATGATGAATTTGGGGGAGATTGGTGATTTGCAAGAATTCCCAGTGAGGAAACTCCTCCTACCAATGCAGATTGCCACCTGCCTCTACTACTCAGTCATACAGAGTTGTCTGAGGCCAGGGGAAACATTAATCTTCTTCAATATTTCAAGAAGGCTCCATTTCTGATTGCTTTGGAATAACAGATCACAAAACTTCCTGGCTTTAGAAAATGATCTTTGATAGTTGTTTTTGTCTACCCTGTACTGGCCAAGCTCCTGGAGGTGAACATGAGCACCCAGGGAAGGCTGGAGCCTGGAGCCCCCCAGAGCCGCACCCAGGGCGCACTGGACGTGGGTCAGGAGAGGCTTGTCCAAGGTCACTCCGGCTGGTTAAGATGCAGAGACTGGAACCCAGAACACCTGACCCCAGTCCGGTGCCCTGCTTACTGCACCACACTGCCTGAATACTCAGACACCCCCGAGGGCAAAGACCTGGGCCTCGGGGAATCAGATTCTAGTCCCAGCTCGGGGATCTTGTGTAATCCATTTCCCTTCTCTGGGCCTCAGTTTCCTCATCAGCAAAGTAGGAATAAAGAGTCCATAGATTACTTTTCCCCATCCACCCAACAGGTTTTGTAAATCCCCAGAACATTATAGAAACATGAGCCGTCATTAATGCTGGGCAAGAATGACGGGAGACCAGGAGGAGGCAAGAACCAAGGGTGATCAGCGGGAAGGACTCATCCTAGTCAGGGGATTTGCTGGAACTTGGGGTGCTGGGACTAGGGCAGCGAGCCAAAAACCATGCAGCCCCAGATGGTGCCTCAGGGGCCCAACCCCTCACCATACACACCTGCCCCCCAGCCTCCAACCCTCCCCCATAGACACCTCACCCTCCCTCTGCCTCAGTCCCCCCAAACACACCTCACCCAACCCCAGCCTCCAACCCCAGCCACCTATACACACCTCATCCCCCTAGGGTCCATCCTCCCATATATACCTGCCCCCCCAGCCTCCAATCCCTCCTCCCTACACACCTTGTCCCTCTCCCCATACACACCTGCCCCCCAGCCTCTAACCCCTCCCCCATACACACCTCATCCCCTAGGGTCCATCCCCCATACACAGTTGCCCCCCCAGCCTCCAATCCCTCCCCTATAACACCTCACACACACCCCCCAGCCTTCAACCTCTCCCCCCATACACACCTCCATGCTGGAGTTGAAGGCCCGGTTCACCTTGGCTTTTATGTTGACCACTTGTCCAGTTCTGGGGAAAGAACAAGAAGTGTAACGCTGACCCAAGAGGCCCAGGTTCCAGTCCTGGCTGGGCTGCTTCCTCCCTGCTAGACTATAGGTGACTAGTCAGCAGTTTCCTGATCTATGAAATGATGGAGTGAGATGATCTCCAAGCACCTTCCAGCTCTTCCTGTGACACTAAGTTATCCAGGAGGAAAGGAGAGAAGGGGAAGAGAAGAATGGAGGAGCCCAGCGGTCCCTGGGCAGAAGGGGCTACCTGGGACATCTCTCAGGTTGGGCTTTAGGCCACATCCTCCTCTGCCCTCCCCTAACTCCCAAGCCTGGTTCCACCCCCCAGGGCCTAATCTCCCTTCCTTCTGACCATCCATCTGTCAGGTCCTTCAGGACCAGGCAGGATCCTGTGTCCAAGCCTAAGGTCACCAATGCTTTCAGAAGGTTCTTACCTGGCACACCCAGGCCCTCATCTGGCCATTGGTGCTACCTCTCCGGGGGTCTGGCAGCTCGTGGACTGGCCCTCTACTCACGCTGACTGACTGTCACTGAGAGAACATCAGAGCTGGAGGATTCACCCCCACATGGCCATTGGGAAGAAGGGGCTAGAGAAGGCCAAGGTCAAGGAGGGGGGTGGAGGGAAAGCCGTGGGGTGGAGGCTGGCCACATTGGCTTTGAAGCCTGCCCTGCTCAGGGTCCCGTGGACCCCGAGGAGCAGCAGGTAAAGCGAGGGAGTGTGCTGGGTGTGGAGGCAAGGGGCCCATGCCTGAAGGCCACCTGTGGCATTTACTGACCACAGACAAGCTGTCTGACCCCTCTGAGCCTCAGTCTCCTCATCTGTAAAATGAGGGCATTGGACCAGATGTCCTCTGAGTTTCCCCCCAACTTCAAAGCTATCATCTTATGATGAAGGTAAATTGGGGTGCAGGCCAGGTAAGAGGCAGATTACTAAGGACAAAAAGTGCGCTGACCCTGGATTCAAGAGAGGCCTGGGTTCAAATCCAACCTCTTTCACCTTCCTAAGTGAGTGCCCAAAGGCATGTCATGAAATCTCTCTCAGCCTCAGTTTCCCTATCTGGAAAATGGGGATAAGAATCCCTCTAGTACCTACCACCCAGCATTGTCATGAAGATCAAATAAGATACTGTACATATAAAGTGCTTTATAAACCTTAAGGTGCATCATAAACTGTCAGCTGTTATTATGATAAGAGAAGAAGGAATGAAGGAAGTAAAGAGAGAAAAAGGAAGAGTGGGAATGAGGAAGGAAGGGAGGGAGGGAGGGAGGAAGGAAGGGAGGAAAGAAGGAAGAAAGGAAGGGAGGGAGGAAGGAAGAGAGGAAGGAAGGAAGGGAGGGAGGGAGGGAGGAAGGAAGGAAGGAAGGAAGGAAGGAAGGAAGGAAGGAAGGAAGGAAGGAGGGAGGGAGGAAGGAAGGGAGGAGGGAGGAAGGAAGGGAGGAAAGAAGGAAGGAAAGAAGGGAGGGAGGGAGGAAGGAAGGGAGGGAGGGAGGAAGGAAGGGAGGGAGGGAGGAAGGAAGGGAGGGAAGGAGAAAGGAAGGAAGGAAGAAGGAAGGAAGGGAAGAAGGAAGGGAGGAAGGAAGGAAGGAAGGAAGGAAGGAAGGAAGGAAGGAAGGAAGGAAGGAAGGAAGGAAGTGAGAGAGGAAAGAAGGAAGGAAGGAAGGAAGGAGGAAGAAGGAAGGAAGGAAGGAAGGAAGGAAGGAAGGAAGGAAGGAAGGAAGGGAGGGAGGGAGGAAGAAAAAAAGGAGGAAGGGGGGAGGAAGGAAGTGCTCAAAGACTGTGCTAAGAAGACCATCATGAGCTCTAATATCCTCAGGCCCGTCCCTACTATGATGTCACATGGGCCATTGTATTATATTTGAAAGAGCTCTTGCTTTGGAGTCAGAAGATCTGGTTCAAATCCACACAGGTCCCTTACCACCGGTGTGCCCTTGGGAGGTCACTGCCTTCGTAGACCACGGGGTCTTTCTTCCTCAGTAAGGGGAGCTGGCCTAGATCAGGCTGAGCAAACGTCAGGTGGGCTACTCTCAGGCCACACAGAAGCAGAGGACAGGCCCAATGTGGCTGTGGGCCGTAGGGTCAGCCCCTTACTTACGATGTGTGGGGAATGGTGATGCTTTTTTCAGCCATCCTGATAACTTGCTGTGTGGGGCAAATTCTTTAACCTTTCTATGTCTTAGTCTTTTAAGGGGAAAAAAGATCTTGGAGACACAATGCTAATTCTTTCCTTGGAGAATTTAAATGATGGTGAAATACCCTGAAAAATTTAAAAAAAAACCAGTTGGTACCTAGTAAAAAGCTTCCCAAGCTGTGTGACTCACGGGGGCAGGAGAAAGCAGCAAGCCTGGTTCCTTGCACACCTCAATCTGAGGACCAGTAGGTGAGTCAATATTAAATCCCTACTATGTGCCAGGCACTGTGCTAAGGGCCGGGGTTACAAGAAGAGGCAAAAGACAGTTCCTGCCCTCAAGGAGCTAACAATCTAGTGTAGGAGCAAACATGCAAACAAATATGGACAACCAAGCTACAGACAGGATAAAAAGGAAATAATGAACAAAGGGAAGGCCCTGGAATTAAGAGGGCTTGAGGAAGGCTTCCTGGGCTTTTAGTGGGAACTTAAAGGAAGCCAGGGAAGGCAGGAGGCAGAGATGGGGAGGGAGGGCCTTCCAGGCAGGGGGCACAGCCAGAGGAAATGCCTGGAGTCTAGAGATGAATGTTTTGAGTGTGGAACAGCCAGGAGGCCAGTGTCACTGAATTGAAGAGTACGTGTTCGGGGAGCGAGGCATACAGAGACTGGAAAGGTAGGAGGGGCTGGGGTTTTGAGGGGCTTTGAATGCCAAACAGAGTATTTTGTAATTGATCGTGGAGGTGACTGAAAGCCAATGGAGTTTCCCCAAAACGGCCAGTGTGTGTGAAGCTGAGGCAGGGCCCTGAGATGGGCCTCCCTTCATTTCTCCCAGAAGCCTGCTCTTCTCTCCCAAAGGCATGGGGTTTCCTCCACTCCTCTCCCTGACTCCTGCAGCCAGAGTTTCCCACAATCCTCCGCCCATTGTCCTTGGGGAAGTCAGGGGTCTCCTGCCTGCTCCCACCCCAATTACAGGAACTGCCAAGACTCTTTGTGTGTGTGCATGCAGGCAAACAGGTGTGTGCCCATAGATTTGGCCTCCCTGGCTAGAGGTATACAGAGAGGCCCTCTCCAGGTCTGAGATGCTAGGACTCTATGTGGTCTGCCTGGAAAAGAGACATTTAACTCTACAGTGAAAGTGGAGCTCGAGGACACTGGTTCAAATGTCAGTTCTGTAGCTGACTGCCTGATGAAAAGACAGGGTTGCCTGGATGCTCCCTAACGTCACCCCTCATCATCTCTGACCCCGTTCCCCATCCTCTGGGCCTCTGCAGCCTTGCCCAGCTGCAGTCCCTCCCCTTGGTTCCCCCCACCAAAGTCACTTTTTCCCTGGACACAGACCTGGTCAAGACCTCCGCCATGGCCTCGGCCCCAGTGAGGGCTGACAGCCGCAGCCTTGGCCTATCTCAGCCGTACCTCTCCCTGGGCACGAGCCAGCCCGGATGCCTGGGAATGCTCTGCCCTACTCCTGGCCTTGTCGACTCATCCATCCATCGCCCCCCACTCAGGGCCTCCCAGGGGCAGCAGTAGACACTCTCACTCCCGCTATGCCCGTGTTGCAGCCCGCGGGGCATAAACAAGCTCTCTCTCTCTCACTCTCTCTCTCTCACACACGCACACACATGCACACACACACGCACACGCGCACACACACACACTCACAGCCCCGGGCACGGGGCCAGCAAACTCCTTGCCCGGATGTGTCAGAAGCCCTCCAAGGCGTGGGCACCCGCCAGCATCCTGCAGAGGTGCCATCCAATCGAGACAGGAGGGAACGAGCCTCCCTTGGCAGGGAGATTCCTCAGGCGAGCCAGGCCCTGCCTCCACGCACTAGCAGAACAGTCTCCTTCCATGTGGCTGCTACAACACCCCACCCACACCCCCCGTGCACCAAGCCTGGCACATCCCGTTTCAGGAGGGCCACAGCGGGGTAGAGCTTCCCTGCACCCAGCCCCTCAGTGCCCTCTCAGGACAAAGAGCCCAGCCCCTGCCCAGACGTACCCTGACTCCTCTATGGCATCCCAGACTACTGACCACTTGAACCCCTCAAGAGCTCCTTGAGGACAGAGACTGTCCTGCTTACTTATATTTGTAAGCCCAACACTTAGCACAGAGAAAGAGCTGAATAAATGTGTCATCCGTCTCTCTGCCCATCCTCAGCCAGAGAGGCTACCCACTCCATTGTGACCCAATGTGTCCATCAGGAAGCTGAAATCAATACCCGTATACCTTCCATCCACAATGCCTGGTGCTGCCTTCTGGGGGCCAAGCAGAATAAATGTAACCCCTCTTCTACAACACAGTCCTTTGAATGCTTGAAGGCAATGATTATGTCCTTCCAAAGACTTTTCTTGGGGGCAGCTGGGTGGCGCAGTGGATAGAGCACCTGCCTGGAGTCAGGAGGACCTGAATTCAAATCCAGCCTCAGATACTTACTAGCTGTGTGACCCTGGGTAAGTAACTTCATTCTGTTTGCCTCTGTTTCCTCATCTGTAAAATGAGCTGGAGGAGGAAATGGCAAACCACTCCAGTATCTCTGCCAAGCAAACCCAAGTTGGGTCACAGAGAGTCAGACACAACTGAAAAATGACTAAACGACAAGGACTTGTCTGCTCCAGGCTAAACACTCCCAGTTCCTTCCACCCATCCATACAGGACATTCCTTCCAGTCCTCCACAGGGCATAGTCAGATTCCTTTCTATGGCCTCGAACCCTGCACCAAAGCTCAGGCTGTTTTCTCTTCTGTAAAACTGTGCCCCTGAGGCCCTTTGGCCACTTTTGAGAGAAGTGATTTGCCAAGGCCTGGAGCCCAGAGTCAAGCAGAGGCCTGTCCCGGTCCCTGGACTAATCCCATGTGACCATGTATAGGTCACTTCCATTCTCTGCCTCAGTTTCCTCACCTGATCCAGGTGATAACTCACTCACAGAGGCCTGGTAAGAAAAAAAATCACTTTGAACACTTTAAATCTCTGGCAATTGAGTGATTGTATTCCCCAAGAAGCCCTTTCCCCCACCCCCTTCTTAGTCAAGCTCAGGGTTGTCAAAGAACCACGGAATCTCAGCACCAAGAGGGCCTCGGAGGACGACCGGTGTGAGCAGACAGTGGCCACCCAGCCTCCCCTCAGTGATAAACGACAGGAAGCCCACCATCACAGCACAACCGGTCACCCCCTTGTCATACAACCCTCCTTGTCTGAAAGTCTATCCAGAGCTGGAAGGGACCCCAAAGGCCATTGCGTTCAACCTCCCCACTTTACAGATGAGGAAACTGAGGCCCAGAGACAGAAGAAACAGGTAGTAGGCATCAGAGTGGAATTTGAACCCAGGTCTTGTGGCTTCAGAATCAGGCTTCTTTCCCCCATACTCAGCTGCCTCCCTAAAAGGCCGCTTGCCCTAACTCTGCCTTTTGAGGCAAAGAAGAGCAAGCCTGCTTCTCCATGGCGGCCTTCAGACACTTAAAGGTCACGCTCACATTGTATTCACCCAAGCCTTCTCTTCTCTAAAGCTAAATGCCCCCAACTCCAATCAAGCCTCATATGACATGACTTGGAAGTTGGGTAAGGGCTGGGGACACTGGGCGATCCATGCTAGGTTGGAACAGGGGAGGGGGCTCAGCCCCAAATGGGGAAGGGAACTGAGAGCAGACGAGGTGGTCACTCACCTAATGGTGTGCTCAAAATAGATGTCATCCACCGAGGCCGTTACGCATGGGCAGCCTGCGTGTTTCTCGGCTAAACACAAAGAAAGAGAAAGGGGCATGTGCCTCCAAAGTCACCCAATGCTCTACCCCCACCAGAATCAAAGGCATCTAGACTGGACAGGTCCACCCTTACCTGAACAAGAATCCACAGACCTCATGACCACATGTCACCCAGGTGGTCACTCAGCCTCAGGGTAAAGACCTCATGACCACGTGCCACTTAGACAGTCACCCAGCCTAGGGTAAAGACCTCACGACTCCTGGGGCAGGCCATGCCAAGCTGAGATATCGCTTCATGTATGGAACCTAAAGCTTCTTCTGGGAGGCTTCTGCCAGTGGTCCTGGCTCCAGTCTAGGCCATCCAGGTAACTCTGGCTCTTTCTCTCCCCCTCCCCCCAGACTTCATGATTTTCGGTGCCCTCATCATCCTGGTCGCCCTCCTCTGGACACCCTGACCATGTGGCATGTCCTCAGTCTCTCTGCCTGAAGACTTCCTGGGAGGAGGACCCACCCCCTCCCAGGGCAGCTCATTCCACTTTAGGATAACCCTAATGATGGGTAAATTTGTCCTGACATCCTGCCTAAATCTACCCCCCACCCCACCCCGCAGCTCCTGGCTCTGCTCTCTGAGGCCAAGACAGTCCCTCTTCCCCATGGTGGCCCCTGGGACCAGAATGAGGCTTTTGCCTTTAAGAACAAACAAACAAACAAAAAAAAACACATTTTTTGAGCCAACCAAGACTTAAAAAACCAGGGTAGCAACATCTAATTACAAAATTTAATTAGCTTCTTAATGCTATTGTGTGTGCACCCTAAGCTGCATTGATTATCTTTCCCCTAAAAGAAACCACTGGGGAGACTTTACAAATTAAAAAAATGAATTTACTACATTGGCTCCCTGTGGCGTGTCAGAGAAGGCAGGCTCAGTGACTCCACCCTGGAGGTCTATGCTCCTTCCCTCCCCACCCCCACCTATGAGGTAGCTCCTCTGGCTCAAGGCCCTCGGTCCGTGGGTGGGAAGGAAGGGAAGAGGGAGCTGCTGACAAAGCTTGTCCCAACCATCCCCACTCTGGGCCCCTGCCAGGAGCATGCACCCAGGCACATCTGAGGCCCAGAGACAGCGAGTACCTTGCCCAAGGGCACACAGCTGCCAAATTCACAACCTCATACATTTAGAGCTGGGAGGGCCCCTGAGGTTCATCTAGTCCACCATTCCCATTTTGCAGATCTGGAAGCTGAGGCCCAGGAAAGGAGAAGTGACTTGCTACACAGGTAGCAAGTGGACCCAGGTTGTCTGAACTTCACATACAATATTCTTTCCACCGTATCAATCAATCAACAGGAATTTAATAAGCCTGTGCTCTGCGCCAGGCTCTGGGGGCATCTGAGCAAAGACTGAAACTGCCTGCTTGCAAAGAGCTTACATTCTGGATCACCCAGGGGCGGGACTGCCAGCCCTAGGCGCTGTCCAATGTACCACACTGACCGCGGGCTGGCCACCAGGGCCTTTCTTCACGGTTCAGATCTGCACAGCCAGGACTGCAGGGCTTACACCAGACCCTCAGTGCAGGGGCTCTTAACCTGAGCTCTATAACTTGCTCTTCAAAAGTACTGAGATAACCATCTTCTAATAGGATTAAGCTCCTTAGTAACCTGTATTTTATCCTAAGCATTTTTAAACACGATTCTGGCGGCCAGGGGACTCCATGGTGCACAGAGTGCTGGGCCTAGAGTTAGGAAGACAGAAATTCAAATTCAGCCTCAGGCACTTGATAGCTGTATGACCCTGGATAAGTCACTTAACCTCTATTTGCCTCAGTTCCTCAACTGTAAAATGGGGACACACTGGAGAAGGAAATTGCAAACCACTCCAGCATCTTTGCCAAGAAAACTCCATGGACATAATCCATGAGGTCATGAAAAGTCAGACACTGCTGAACCACTGAACACCACCACAATGCAATGCTTATGGATGAGTTTTGGTCCTTTCCTGTGCTAATCATCCAGGTTCTAACATTCTATGTTCTTAGATAGCTTCCTGATCTAATGTTCTAGGTTCTCTTCCGAGATCTCTTCCTGTTTTAACATTCTAGATTCTAACAGCACATGTACAGAGGTCTCTACCAGTTTTAACCATTTGTGTTCTAGGTTCTTACATTCTACCTTCTGAGATCTCTTCCTGCTCTAACACTCTAAGAGGGTTCTATGTTCAATGCTCTAATGTTCAATATTTTATCCTATGCTCTATGTTCTGTGAACAACATTGTATTTTCCAAGATCCCTTCCTACTCTAACATTCTATGCTCTAATAACACACTTTCAAAGGTCTCTTCCAGTTCTAACCATTTGTGTTCTAGGTTCTAACATTCTGTGTTCTGATATCTTTTCCTGCTGGAACATTGTATTCCTCTCTTCTTCCTCTTTTACTTTTTCTTTTTTAAAAATAAGATGAGATATGATAAACATAAGAGATGGATCTCTGGGGGAGGAGAGGGGGAGGGATACCAGGGAAAATCTAGGCAATGGCAAAAACAAAATACCAATAAAAATCTGGTTTTATGGCATTGCATATTTTGAGCTCTATGTTCAGTGTTCTAATAATTCTATACTTGGAGATTTTTTCCCACTCCAGGACTATGGGTCCTTATATTCTAGGTTCTGTGTCCTCACATATTAAGTTCTGAGCCCTCACATTCTAGGTTCTGTCTTCTCACATTCTAGGTTCTGTGTCCTCACTTTCTAGGTTCAGTGTCCTCACATCTTAAGTTCTGCACCCTCACATTCTAGGTTCAGTGTCCTCACATTCTAGGTTCTGTGTCCTCACTTTCTAGGTTCAGTGTCCTCACATCTTAAGTTCTGCACCCTCACATTCTAGGTTCAGTGTCCTCACATTCTAGGTTCTGTGTCCTCACTTTCTAGGTTCAGTGTCCTCACATCTTAAGTTCTGCACCCTCACATTCTAGGTTCAGTGTCCTCACATTCTAGGTTCTGTGTCCTCACATTCTAGGTTCAGTGTCCTCACATTCTAGGTTCTTTCTCCTCACACTCTAGGTTCAGTGTCCTCACATTCTAGGTTCAGTGTCCTCACTTTCTAGGTTCAATGTCCTCACATTCTAGGTTCAGTGTCCTCACATTCTACGTTCGGTATCCTCACATTCTAGGCTCGGTGTCCTCACATTCTAGGTTCTGTCTTCTCACATTCTAGTGCCGTTCCTACACACTGTGCTCTAAGCTGGTCCCTTCTTGCTCTGACATTTGGCATGCTGCTGTGTTCTATGTCCAAGGCTCTGAGGTCCCTCTGGCTCATGTTCTATACTCCTCCCTCCCATCCCAGGTCTGGGGGCTACCCTCCCCAAAAAAAGGCCACCTGCTCAGTGCCTTGATTGTGTGTCTGTCCCCCTTCATGTTCTTCCACCCCCTGCTTCTGTCTGGAGGCTCAGCCAGGCAGGGAAGAATCAAGCTGGGACCGGCTTGGGAAAAGGGCCCTAGCTCCCACTTCCAGTGGTTTGAGGGGACCTCCCTCCAGCCCCACCTTCTGGACCAGGCCCAAGGGACAATGGGCGGCTTCTTAACCAGAAGTCTCCATCGAGCCTGAAGCCGCCGCCCTTGCACATTAGGGCCCAAAGTCTCCTTTTTCACCCCACCACCCCGAGCCCCGCACAGAGTAGGCACTTACTCAGTGCTTACTGCACTGAACTGGCCCCATCCCGGCTGGTCGCCCATGGCAGCTGGCTTTGTTCTCAATTTCCTTGCACTGGTGAGGCAGGTGGGGGGGGGGGTGGAGGGATTTGTGTCTTTCTTTACGCAAAGCTGAGGGCAGACACACCTGCTTGGAACAGAAAGGACCTTCAGGAGGCACCGCCCTCCCCCCACCCCATCCCCCAACTCTTGCTCCTTAAACCACCATTTGGTTGGCTGCTCTTACAAGGGCCCCCAGGGAAATCTTGTTCTCTTTAAAAAGTCCCGAGCCGTTGGATTTGGGAGCCAAGTTTTCAAACCCCAACAGCCACGTCCAAAGGACCTCAGATTTAGGGCTGGAAGGGACAAGGGGTTCATCTAGCCCAATCCTTTCCTCTTACTCATGAGGAAACTGAGGCCCCAGGGAACAAAGTGACTCACCCAATTAGTGAGTAGGAAAACCAGGATCCTCCCCCAGCAACTCTGACTTCCCATGAATCCACACTGCCAAGGGAGTCAGGACAAGGGGACAGGCAATGCCAAGTTCACGGGACAAGGCCCATTCAGAATAAAATGGTGACTGTCTTGGCAGCACTTTAAGATGTAAAAAACACTGTCCTCGTGACACCCCTGGGAGCTGGGCTAGTTCAAGTATTATGATGCCCCTTTTATAGATGGAGAAACTGAGGTTCCGATCAAAGGTCACTCCAGTCATAAGTGGCAAAGCTGGGATTCAAATAGCACCATTTCTACTGTTCCAAATGAGGCGCTGGGAAGGAACCAAGGAGGGAGAGACAAAAGAATTGAGAGCCGGGAGGGGGCCTCAGATAGCATTTAGTCCAAGCTTCATCATTTTATAGAGAAAGAACTAAAGCTTAGACAAAGAATTTGTCTAAGGTTACCCCTTCTCCCTCTGGTTGGAGGGGGAGGGGGACCTGTGGGGGCTCCTCCCAGATCCCCACCGTCCAATGAGGGCACTTGGGGAATTCCCCTCATCATTTCCCACCTGGCTGCTCTCCTGGACCTCATGATCTCCAGAACATCATTCTGCACAATGAAATCAGCCCTGTAATTCCCACCTCCTCGGGACATTTCCCTCCTGGGTGGCAGGATTTCATCACACCCTGTACTGGATACCAGCCACCACCACCACCCCTCTGCTTTTACCTCCTTGTTAACATTACCTCCCCCTTTACACTGGGAGCTCTGTGAGGGCTTTCTTTGTATCCTGACAAATAGTAGGTGCTTAATAAATGTTTAATGATCCTGGCTCATACAAACAGTATATATGAGTACAAGGAAGCCACAAGAGTCTTTGGCTGCCAGGTTGGTTGTAAGCGCCATGAAGGCAAGAACCGTGTCCTGTTTATATTTACAAATCCCTGGGGCAGCTAGGTGGCACCATGGACAGAGCACCAGCCCTGGAGTCAGGAGGATCGGAGTTCAAATCCGGCCTCAGACACTTGACACTTACTAGCTGTGTGACCCTGGGCAAGTCACTTAACCCCGATCGCCTCACCAACTAAATAAATAAAATAAATCTCCCTGGGCCTCAGTTTCCCCCTCTAAAATTAGGGAACTGCAAAATAGGGCCTCTGAGGTCCCGTCACCCTATGATTATTGCCCAGCACAATGCCTATAGAATGAATGAATGAATGAATGAATGAATGGTAGACATGACACATACACTGTCCTTGAAAGGACGTACGAGTTGGATTCAAATCCCAGCTCTTCTACTTAATGTTTGCATGACTCCTTGCAAGTCACTTAACGCCTCACAGTCTCAGTTTCCCCATCTGTAAAATGAAGGTGGACTAAATGACCTTGGGGGTCCCTTCTATTTCTGGAGCCTTGGGGGCAAGAATGTTGGAGAGAGGGCACTTCCTTTAGTGTCCAGGGCCTGGACTGAGTCTCAGCTCTAGCACATATTACCCAGGTGACGTTGGCCAAGATGTAAGTCACAAGACTTGAAGTTAGAAAAAAGTTTAGAGATCAACTAATACCATGTTTTCATTTGATAGGAGAGAAAAGCAGGGCCGGAGAAAGGGAGGGACACAAAGAAAAATGTCAGAGCTAAGATTCGAACCCAGATCTTCCAACTCCAATCCAGGGCTCCTTTTATTATGCCATGCCCCTGGCCCCAATTTCCCCACCTTGTAAAATGAGAATAAAGACACATGTACTACCTTACTACTACCAGGCAGTGAAATGTCACAGTGGTGTCAGGCTTGAGTTCAAATCCAGCCTTCGATACCTACTAGCTGTGTGATTCTGGACAAGTCACTTAACCTCCATCTGCCTGTTTCCTTATCTGTAAAACGAGAATAAGAAACATACCACCTACCTCCCAGGGCTGTTACAAGCATAAAATGAGATAATATTTATAAAGAACTTCATAATCCTTAAGGTGCTATAGAAAAGCTAAGTATTAAGAGTTAACATCATGGCACAGTGCCCAGGACTGCAGAGGTATCTCTACCTTAAGTGGGGCCGTGCCTAGAAGACTGTGTTGGGTTCTGAGCACCACGTTTTAGGAAAGACGGTGACAAGCTAAACATAACCCAGGAGGGTGAGGAGCTTCTGGACAGGTCGTAAGATGAAGGACATGAGGGTGTTTAGACTAGAGAAGGGGAGACGAGGGTGGGGAGGGAGCATGACAGCCTTCTTCAAGGAGCTGTCCAGGGAGCAGTGAATAGACTTTCTGCTTGGCCCCAGAGTGCAGAACAAGGAGCCAGGGAAGTCACCCAGATGTCAGTGTGAACTCCCTAACAATGAGCCATCCAAGACTGGAGAGGGCTGCCTCCAGAGGGAGGGAGGGAGCTCTCCCTCCCGGGAGGGCTGCAGTTAGAGACCAGATGACTCCTCCTCAGGGCAGCTATAGATGGCTGTTCAGGTACAAGTTGGAGGAGAGGACATCTGAGATCCCTTTCAGCTCTGAGATTCTATAGTATTTTCCTCATAGTGCTGTTACAAGAAAAATGCAGCCTAAATTTTAAGGTGGCCTAGAATCATGAGTCCTCATCACCATTGTTACTATTAGACAGCACACCAGGTATCTGGAACAGTACAAGCAAAGGTACGGAGGTGGGAAAGTAAGTGTGCAGGAGATGGCCACAGAGTATGCAGAGGAAAGCAGTGTGTGATGAGGTTGCAAAGACAGCCTATATCACAGTGGTGCAAGGCCTTTAATGTGGAGCCGAGGAGTTTGGGTTTTACCTGAGAGGCAGGCAGTTATGTCTATCCACTTCAGCAGCTGACCCACGCTCAGCTCCTCTCGGGGATTTGTGTGGCATGGCAGCACCAGCTGGCTCATCTGTACCTCTGTTGGGTTCCTGTAGGTCTCCATGGTGCCAGCTGGGTCCTGGCCTTGGGCAGCCTGCTTCCGGGATGCCCGGCCTGAGAATATGGAGGTGAGGCCCTAGGGCAGACAGAAATACAGCCCCAGAGAGCAAAGCAGGGAGGGGAAGAGGAAGAGTGAAAAAGGAGAGACCAGGAAAAGGAAAGAACAGAGAGGAGAAAGACAGAAGGAAAGAGAATAAATAGCATAAAAGACAAAGAGAGAAAGGGGAGGGGGGTGGAGAAGCAGAGAGAGGCAGAGAAGGAAAGGGAGAGAGAGAAGATCCTGATTAATCGCCGACCAATGCTCATTCTCATCTCTCCGCTTTGCCTCAGCTCCCTGCTGACCTGAGCTCCCAAGCTTCTCAAGCCTCCTAACACTAGCAAAAAAAATTCACACCAGCCCTGGATTGGGTCCCACCCTCATGCCCCAGGAGGGAGGGGGCCAGTGTGACCTCACCCATGTCCCAGCTGCTCCCCTGATCTCAGACTAGGATGGACACCTCCTGCCTCATGCCATCCTGGCACATGAAACCAGAGCTGCACCCTGAGTCTACCCTGGACCCCAGACCCTGTGACTCAGATTCAGGCTCTCCTCACCAACCAGGCTTGTGTACCCCACCACTAGCACCCCCATTAGCCTGACCCTTCTCTGTCAATCCTACAGAAGTCGCTCCATCTCTGAGCAGCTCCCAGCCCTAGGCTCAGCCGATGGCCGTGCTAGGTGGCAGCCTACCCTGGCCATGCCTGGGCCTGGGATGGCCAAGTATCAACTCTCCATTATCTGTACCAATTCAATCTGATCAATCAACAATTCGATTAATTAGTTATTTAAGAACCATTTATAAGCCTTCCAAACAGGAGTCAGGCACTCCCAGCCTCCAAAGAGCTTCCATTCTAACAGAGGAGAGAGCAAATAGGGAAGGTTTCAGCAGCAAATCCCACAGAAAGGGCCCAAAGTCTAACAAGCATTTATTACCTAGGCTCCAGGCACTGCCTTCAACCCCAAGAATATAAATGCCAACAGCCCTGCCCTCAAGGAGCTTACACTCCAAATAGTAGGAGGTGTACAAAGACAAACTTGGATAGGAAAAATATATATCTTTGTTTTCACTGAATGAAATTAGCATTGCCTTTAATTAATGAATTTTTTAGAAAACCATGATTCCAAGAAGGGCTCCATAGGCTTCCCCAGACTGCCCAAGGGGGCCCCTGACACATAAAAGGTCTAGTCCTACCCAACAAGAAAGCATTTGTAACACGCCCTTTTTGTGCCAGGCAATCTAGGAAGGACAATGGTTAGACCTCGAGGCCTGGAATAAGGCTCAAACACTAGCCATGTGTCCTTTGCCAAGTCACTTGACCGCTTTCTTCCTCAGTTTCCTCACTTGTAAAATGAGAATAATAATAATAGCATCTACCTCACAGGACTGTTCTGAGACCTGAATGAGATATTTGTTAAAAGTGCTTAGCACAACGCCTGGCACACAGTAGGCACTTAATAAATGTTTCTTTCTTTCCTTCAAGGAGTTTAATTTACTTAGTGTTGACTGGTTCTGTGGGGTGTTTTTGGTAGCAGAATTAGGGGCCATTTTCAAGACATTCTTGAAACACGCACAAGTAACATTTTCTTGACTTAGGGCCCTGGTCAGGTTAATCTAGACAAGGTTGGTTAGTAAACCATGGAGATCAGGAGACAGGGCTTCTAGTCCTGACCTGAGCACAGTGTGACCCTGGGCCTATCACTATCCTTCTCTAGAACCCATTTTCCTTACCAGTTAAATGAGGAAGCTGGACCAGGTATGCTAAGAGGTCCCTCCCAGCTCTGACATCCCCTGTTCTCAGGCCCCTCCCAGCTTCTACATCCCCTGATCTAAGGCCCCTCCCAGCTCTGACATTCCATGTTCTAAGGTCTCTCCCAGCTCCGACATCCCCTGTTCAAGGTTATGATCTCTGATTTCCATTAACTAGTGAGGAGAGAATAGAAAGCCCAGGTGGGCACGGATCACTGGCCTGGGATCTTTTTCATAGAAATGACTCTTTCGCCACACATCCCCTATGTAACACTCCTGGAGTTCATTGTTTTGAATCCCCATGTATGACTTCACATTTTTTTTTTGTTAAATCGTCTTCTCGGAGGCACTGGATCTGAAGCCTGTCCTTTTCCCAAGCCCTGTCTGGTGCAGTCCTGACCCCCTCCCCTGCCCAGCTTTGGGCCCCCCACAGGTGTGACAAGCATGCTCTGCACAGACCTCCAGGGACTTCCCCCACTTGTGCCCTGACACACTCCTGGAAGCAAAGCCAGACTCAGCTGGGGGAAGGATCCTCACACATGCGGAGCCGGGAAGACCTGGAGGGGTCGTCCAGTCCAATCCCTCCCTTTTACAAGGAAGAAAACTAAGGCTGAGAAGGTAAGAGTCTTCCCCAAGGCCACCAAGGGTTAGCTGTAGAGAGGGGCCAGGCCCACATCCCAAGCATCTCTGTCTTCCCAGTGCCCTGGCTCCAGACCCCACCTCACTGTTCTGTCCCTCAGCCCCTTCCTTATTCTCTCCTACCTTTGCAAGGGACCACTTGGTGGAGACCGCCCCCTCCCGCTCCCCTCAGAGCCAGCCTTCCTGGGGCCCACATTCCAAGTGAGTGAGCTAGCCCACCACCATCCTGTTACCATGGTGACAAGTGCCAGGCGTGCCCAGGCTGTCATGCGCCTTGGGTTAGCAAATGAAAGAGAGAGGGAGAGAAAGAGGGGGAGAGAGAGAGAAGGAAGGAGAGAGAGAGAGAGAGAAAGAGAGAGAGAGAGAGAGAGAGAGAGAGAGAGAGAGAGAAGAGAGAGAAGAGAGAGAAGGAGAGAGAAAGAGAGGAGAGAGAGAGAGAAGAGAGAGAGAAAGAGAGGAGAGAGAGAGAGAAAGAGAGAGGCAGGCATAGCATCATGCAAGGGAGCCAGTGTTAAAAATGGAAAAACACACACACACACACACACACACACACACACACACACACACACCCCTTGGCAAAGGGAAAAACCTCCTACCAGGAAAAAAAAAACTGATGCAAAGAGTGGAAGATATTGGGCAGCTCCTGGCTGGGGCGGAGTGGGGAGGGAGGGAGGTGGGGAGAAGCAAGCAGAAAGAGAGAGAAGCTCAGTCAGGGGCATGCATCTACAAGGCTATGTCCATCTGTCTGTCTGTGGGAATGGTACTAACATGTGCAAAAAACAGACATCCAAGGGTGTATGTAGATCTATCTTAGAATCTCCGAGTTGGACAGAATCTCAGAGGTCATAGAGTTCAACCCATACATGGACATAATTCCTTCCATACCATGAATACTAGTTATAGGGAGGTCATTACCTCCTCTAGCAGCCCATTCCACTCCTGGACAGCATTGTTAGGAAACTTCCTTATAGTGAGAAAAAATTCTCTCTCTCTCTCTCTCTCTCTCTCTCTCTCTCTCTCTCTCTCTCTCTCTCTCTCTCTCTCTCTTTCTCTCTCTCTCCCCTCCCTCCCTCCCTCTCTCCTCCATCCCTCTCCCCTCATCTCTCTCTGTTTCTGTCTCTCCATCTCTGTCTCTCTTTCTCTCCTCTGTTTCTCTTTGTCTTTCCTATCTCTATCTCTCTTCTGTCTCTATCTCTCTCTCCCCTCCCTCTCCCTCATCTCTGTATTTCTTTTTCTTTCTGTCTCTCTCTCTCTCTCTTATCTCTCTCCTCTCTTTGTCTCTCCTCCCCTCACTGTCCCCCTCCCCCATCTCTCTCTGTCTATCTATCTCTCTTCGGTCTGTATCTCTCCTCTCTCTATCTCTCTTTGTCTCTATCTCTATCTCACTTTCTCTCTATCTCTTCTGTCTCTGTCTTTCCATCTCTCTCTTCTGACTCTACTTCTCTCCTCTTTCCCTGTCTCTTTCTGTCTCTTTTCCTCTCTGTCTTGGCTTTGCCTATCTGGCTGTCTCTCTAACTTCCCCCTTCCCCTGTGGCTCCTGTCTCTGGGGCCCAGCAGAACAAATCCAATCCCTGCTCCGGGTCACAGTCCTTCCAATCCCTGAAGATGACTTCCCGCCACCCAGCACCACCTTCTCTGCTACTTACTACCCGGATGCCCTTAAACAAGTCCCTTCAGCCTGGCCATGCCTCAGTTTCCTCCCCTGTAATACGAGAGGACCAGACCCAAAGACCTCCCAGGTCCTTATTAGCTCCAGCTTGATGGTCCCATGACCCGGGTCCCAGTCCTACTGACTGTCTGTATGACCTTGAGCAAGTCACACTCTCTCTGGGCCTCAGTGGCTTCACCTGTAAAATGGACTCAGTGGATGCTAAGGTCCCTTCCAGCTCTGAATCTAGGATCTGACGAACAAGGTTTACAAAATGCTTCTCCTGGTAAATCAGATTAACCACCATTTGACAGATGAAGAAACTGAGGCCCAGCAAGGGAGCGGTGTTTTGCCCATTGCCACAGAGATAGTGAATATAAGTCGACAATCCAGGTGTCCAGAGTCCCTGCCCCAGCACTTTTCAGTCTTTCCTGCTTCCTATCGTTGCCCATTAGGCCCAGGCTGCTTGTCCCAGCCTTTCTCCTGCCTCTGAGTAGGGCTGAGGCTCCACTGCCAGGGGCTGGGACCTATTTTTAGCTCCCCCCCCCCCACACTCAGAGTGAGCAGTCACACCACAGCAGTACAGGGAAGGAAAGCACAGATGAAGTTGGGGGAGAGCATGGCCTGGCTCCCCATTCCTTATATGGGAAGCTCCTGGCCCAGCCAAGGAAAGGCAGCTGGTCCCCAGCTGGGATGACGAAGCTTGCCCTCCCTTCTTCTGGGAGAACCAGCTGGGGGACAGTGGGAGGCCGGAGGAGGCATTGGCTGAGCCCGGAGGCAGGACCCCAGCCAAGGGCCAATGGTAGTGGGGGAGCCAGGGCACTACCCACCCTCAGCCCCCATCCAAGCCTGTCACGGGGGCTGCTTTGGGTGAGAAGATGCCCTGAGATCATGTCAGGGCACTCAGGGGCAACGCCAAGTGGAAATGATGGGCCCAGGCTCTGAGGCTTCTGGCACCGAGAATCACAGCCTGGCTTCAGTGTAGGAAAGGGAGGTTGCCTT